CCTTCCTTCTTTCTTTCTTAAGTTTCTTTTTAAAAATATTTATTTAAAAATTATTTATTATGTATGCAGTATTCTGCCTGTGTATATGTCTGCAGGCCAGAAGAGGGCACCAGACCTCATTACAGATGGTTGTGAGCCACCATGTGGTTGCTGGGAATTGAACTCAGGACCTTTGGAAGAGCAGGCAATGCTCTTAACCACGGAGCCATGTCTCCAGCACTGGAGTAATTTTCAAAGACTTGTGCAGTTACTTAAAATTCTTAGTCATGAAACATCTCCGCCAAGTACACTGTTCTGTGCTTATGTATTTAATTAAGAGTCAATTCCTGCCGGGCGGTGGTGGCGCACGCCTTTAATCCCAGCACTTGGGAGGCAGAGACAGGTGGATCTCTGTGAGTTCGAGACCAGCCTGGTCTAGAGAGCTAGTTCCAGGACAGGCTCCAAAGCCACAGAGAAACCCTGTCTCGAAAAACCAAAAAAAAAAAAAAGAGCTAGTTCCAGACAGGCTTCAAAAACCACAGAGAAACCCTGTCTCAAAAAACAAAAAAAAAAAACAAAAAACAAAAAACAAACAAACAAAAAAACAAAAGAGTCAATTCCTGACCAGAGCAGAAATGAGGTTTCCATAGTCTGTGCTTCAGGCTCTAACACAGCAGGTCTCTGAAAAACTTATATAAATCTTTCAACAAGAGATTGGGTGTTCTTTCTTTTGGGTGTATTTTTTTCTCCTTTTGCCTGGTACTGTCTTAGGGGAGAAAGCTTCGGTTATTGTCTGCTATAGGTTTCAGAGTCAGTGTTTGGTTGAAGTACACTCTGGTGGATACAGGGCCAGGGAGATGCTGCAGCTAGCTTCTTCCTCTGAAGGGAGGATCCTCCCTCAGGTCTTCTAACAACTACTCTCCTTCTGCATTGACAGTTTCCACTGTGCCAAAGTCTCTTAAGCTCATGCTCCATGCCCCCACGAAGTCTGAGTCATCACTTCTCCCTCCCTCCATCCCTCTGTCCCTCCCTCCTTCCCCCTTTCCCCTCTCTCTCACCTCCCCCTCATATCCTCAATCAGAGTCAGCCTTTTGGATCCCCCCCCCCCCCCCCAGTAAATCCCTTGTGTAAAGTCTGTTGCACAGTGTGATTTTTATGACATTCCTTGGCCTTCCGATACCACAAAAACCTTTATACACTGTTATTTTATTTTCAACTACAATGCCTAAAATATGTATTGGGGGAAAACACAAATCATTCAGCAAATGGTGTTGGGAAAACTTTATACCCCTTGTAGAAGAACAAAATTATATCTCTATCTCTCATCCTGTAGAAAATTAATCTCAAAGACCTTAAATGTAACACAAAACTCTGAAATCTGCTAGAAATTTGACAGATTTGATAGATGCACAGACCCTCTGTCAGGATGGTCTGAAAGGGTTTATGGCTCAAGAAACAATAACAAGAGCTGACAAATGGGGTTTTATGAAATGAAAAGCTTCTGCCCAGCGAAGGAAGCAATTAGAGGATGTAAAGACAGTCTAAGGAAAGGGAGAAAATATATTCCAGATCAAAATCTGAAACAGGTTTGATGTCTACAACATATAAATAATTCAAAAACAGCAAAACCAAGAGCCAGGTGTTGTGTGTACCTGGAAGCCCACGAACTGGGAAGCAGACTCATGAGACTACAAGTCCAGCTTCATGGACTGTGTTGCAAAAACAAACAAACAAAAATCATTCTGGTTGAGAGCTTGAATGAATTCTTTAGAAGTAAGCAAGACAACAGAGGAAGGAAATTCATTCAGTAGTTCAGGGAAGGGACATGGATTGCTTTTCCTCAAGGTATGAGCAAAGAAATCAGTGCAAAGAAATTGAGCTTTGGGTTCATTTAAAACATGGACATTACAATATTTCTTGCTGGTGAAATCTGGACTACAGAATGAAGTAAGGTAATAATAAAAAATTCATGATTGCACAGGCAGCAGAGTAGATTTGCTGGTTGCAGACAGGGAAATGCATGTAAAGCAGCCAGGTTGACAGTGGACAGATGAGCCTGGAGATGTATGTGCCTGGGCTGGAGAAACGTATTTGGGGGGTGGTCTTAAATGGTATTTTAAACCTTGGAGTTGAATACAATCACCAAAAACATGATTAATTGTGGAAGAGAAACAGAACAGGACTGAGCCTGGCCCCTCCAGTGCTCATGATCTCATTAGAGCACACACCTAGAATAGACTGTGCAGCTCTGGGCTCCTGTCTAGAACGCCCATAGACCAGAGAGTCCCAGACTTCTCTGTGCACAGGAATTCTCTGAACTTCACAACAAGAACAAGGTCAGGCTTGATGACACAGGCTTTTAATCTCAGCATTCTGGGCAGAAATCCCTGCCTCCTCTCCTAGGACCTCTCTGAGCAAGGTCAGCCTGGTCTATAAGTAAAGCAAGTTACAGGCCAGTCAAGGCCACATAGTGAGACTGTTTCAACAAACAAAAAATCAAAGCAAAACCTCACACGCAAAATCAAAACAAAGACTTAGTGTATGGTGTAAATAAATGCAATGCAGATATTAAAGAATATTTACCACTTTAATAATAAACTTACAGAACCGAAGTTCCCGAGTGGCACAGGAGGTAGGAAGGAAAAGGCAGTGGCACAGGAGGTAGGAAGGAAAAGGCGGAGCGGCCTCCCGCGCGCCCATTTATCTGTAGGCATTCGCCCGAGGCAAACCCCGCCCCCTAAAGGGGCTGTCTTAAGCCTACAATTTAGAAAATCTGATGAAGAGCCAAGAATCTCTGCATTTATAACAAGGTTTGTGCAGAGACAGCTGTTATTCAGATCATGGAGCTACAAGGATGTAGACAGGAGCTCCCAGGCTGTGCATTAGCCTCACTTATGGCAGATTACATAAAATTTCCTGCTGCCAAGTATGGTGGCTTATATATGTAATTCTAACAAAGCAAGAAGGGGAAAGAGGATTGCAAGTATGTCAAAGCTTATACTAATTTTTATTTTTTACTTTTTTCATTGTGTGACAAAATACTCAGCAGAGCAACTTAAAGGACGAAAGGTTTATTCTGATTCATGATTTAAGAGGCACAGTTACTCTCAGCATAAGGTATGATGCAGAATGTGGCAGCAGGAGCATGGGGCTGGGATTCCACAAACTTCAGTAGATCAGGAAGTTGAGATTAGGGATCCTCTCATCTGACTTTCTTCTGTTCTTCCTCTTATCCTTGGGCCCCAGGATGTGTTTTCAAACCTCAATTAATCTCTGGAAACACTCTTGCAGATGTGACCAGAACTGGATCTCCTAGGAGACTCTAAATCCAGCCAAGCTGACACTGAAGATTGGCCATCACAGCTACTTAGTGAGTTCTAGGCCAGCACGGGACACAGTGTGAGATGCTGGTAACAGAGAAACAGAAAAGGGAAGAGTGAGTCCTGGGCTACATACTGAGCAATGTAAACGAGGGATCTGGAAAGAGTCTGAGTATTTTAGCACAAGATTTATGGCCACTGATGGTAGTACTGAGAATGGCATCCATGATGGAAAAGGGTTTTATGTGGGCATTCCATTTGGGGGAGGGGTTGAGAGAGACACATGATCATTCCTGAGTTGTCATGTTGACAGATACATACTTTTTTCTGTCCCATGAGATGCAGCCTCAGAGAGGAAATACAGGAAGCAATTATATAGAGACTCTGACTAGCTACTATCTGAAAATTCCCTAGAATGATTTCTTACTTTCAGATAAAAATAATAGAATTCGAACTCTTATCCTTTAAAAACAAGGGAATTTAATATGTGGTATTGGAGGGTTGGTGATTATTTTATTTTGGAAAAAGCCAATGAACCAAATCCAAGGCTTCACAGCTGGGAACAGAACTGACAAGTCCATCAACATCAGGTCCCACAGGAATCCTCTGAGCACAGGAATCACTGATGCCCTGGAGCTGGTCTCTGGGGGACAGCTTTCCTGCTACTCTGGGAACTGGATGTGCCAGTGATACCCCAGCCCAATTCATTCCTGCGGTTCCAGCTTTTCCTTCTCACCATGTGCTCATTCAGCTGGGGGGAGCTGAGGAGGACTCCTGTGGTGCCCAGCTGCAGGATTGTTGGGAAAGGGAGAGTGACTGAGGGACTTGCTCTGCTTCCTTTCTGCATCCTTACTAGGTGTTCCCTTAATGTGTAGAGAGAGCTCAGAGCTGGGAGAAGATGGGAGAAGGTGGAAATACAATGATGAAAGGAGATTCCTGGAAAAGTTATCTGAGTGACTACATCAGGGAAATAAATGACTGATAGATCCAGGATAACGATGTTCTAGCGTCCTCTTAGCCCTGGACTTTAAAAAGTGATAGCTCAACAGGGCATGGTGGCACACAACTTTAATCCTAGCGCTTTGGAAGCAGAGACAGGTGGATCTCTGAGTTTGAGGCCAGCCTGGCCTACATAGTAAGTTCCAGGACAGCCAGGGCAATGTAAAAATACCTTGTCTTCAAAAACAAACAAGCAGGGCTGAAGAGATTGTTCAGCCATTAAGAGCACTGCCTGCTCTTCCAGAGGTCCTGAGTTCAATTCCCAACAACCACATGGTGGCTCACAACCACCTGTAATGAGATCTGGTGCTTTATTATGACCTGTGGGCTTGCATGCATGCAGAACAATGTACACATAATGAATAAAAATATCTTTTTAAAAATTTATTTATTTATTATGTATACAATATTCTGTCTGTGTGTATGCCTGCAGGCCAGAAGAGGGCACCAGACCTCATTACAGATGGTTGTGAACCACCATGTGGTTGCTGGGAATTGAACTCAGGACTTTTGGAAGAGCAGGCAATGCACTTAACCACTGAGCCATCTCTCCAGCCCCCAATAAATAAATCTTTTTAAAAAAAAATCTGCCAGTACCCTGAGTCCCAGGTCAGGTAAGCAGTCACACATTGGTGTGTCTCATAGTAACAAAGCAGGAGATAAGCGCATTTCCATCCATGACTTTATCTCTATAGAAACCCCTCAGACACCAATTCCCTCCCTACCTGTGCTTTTCTTCCTCAGCATCACGATGGCAGCTACAGCTACAGTGACCACAACTCCAAGGAGAATCACACCAACTATCACTCCAGTTGGGGACCAAGGAGATGGCTCTGGGAAGAGAGAGTAGAGTACCAATTCCTACCCTCAGCTCAGCACTGATTCTACTTAGGGTCTCCAGAAGGTCACTTGCTTTCCTTGACAACAAACTTCATGCTCACACCCCTCCTTACCCCATCTCAGTATGAGGGGCTCAGGCAGCCCCTCATGTTGCACATGACATGTGTATCTCTGCTCCTCCCCAGAAGGCATCACCACAGCTGCCCACTTCTGGAAGGTTCCGTCCCCTGCAGGCCTGGTTTCCACCAGTTCCGTGTCCTGGGTCTGGTCTTCCTCATCCCTCTGCCAGGTCAGGGTTATCTCAGCTGGATAGAATCCAAGAGCCCAGCACCTCAAGGTAACATCACCTTCAGGTCTAAGGTGATGGGTTATATGTGCCTTTGGAGGATCTGAGGAGAAGAGTTAGAAACTTCAAACATCTTTAAAACTTTTTCTGGGGACTTAAGCTGTATACGTGTGCCTATCCTAACAAAGCACAGGAGAATCAAGATGGGGGGTGTGGCACATGGTGTAAACCCCACAAGTTGCTTACACTCAGGCTCTAGTATAATCTATTCCTTAGAAAAGAGAGATTCCCACATTTCCCACCATAAAAAGAGGATTTCTGGTCCTGACTTGGGTGGAGGAATGAGGGACTCTTTGATTCGGACCTTCAAAGACACTGGGTTTGGGCAGACAGCTCAGCCTCTGGGAGGCCATGGTTCATTACACGCTGCAGAATGAATGGGGCTGCTGTTGGTTATTTCAGGGATCTTCTTTCCTATCATCCCAGGAGATTCTAATCTCTCCTGAGAGAAGGGTGAGTCCTGGGACAGTCATTCTCTGCTGTTGGATCAGGAAAACCAGGAGCACTCCTCCCCCTCTGGATACAAGAGAGAACTACAGTATTTCAGCTTGTTCCATTTTCCTTCCTCCTTGGAGGTGGCACCCTATGAGAGCAAATGGAGGAATTGCTTGTCAGCCCCTTTTACCTGAGCGCTCCAGAATCTCCTTCCCTCGCTTCAGGTGCCAGTGTAGGTTAGCAGGGCATCCGTACTCCAAGTAGTTCTTCCAGAACTCTGCTAGGTTTTTTGCTTCCCACTGTTGCTGGGTGATCTGAGCAGTCCTGTCTGCTGCAGTCCAAGTTCTCAGGTCCTCGTTCAGGCTGATGTAATCACGGCCATCAAAGGCATGTCTATAGTGCCCACGGAGGAGGTGTCTGTCTGGACCCACGTCGCAACCAATGAAACACTGGAAGGTATGAGAGCCTGCAACCGTTCCCAAAGTCAGCCCGGTTCACAAGGCCCAGCCCACCCGCAGAATTCCCACTTACGTGAACCAGAAACCGGGTCTCAGCGCATTCCTCTCCCGGGTCCAGGTCTCTCTGGCCCGCAACCTTAGTTGGAACCTAGGACCTGGGATTCAGAGCAACTCGGGGGAGTCCGTAAGGGACATGTAGGGGTCACTCACCGTCATTACTCTGGTTATAAATTTGGATTGCAAATCTCAGGTTTTCTCGGGCCCTGTGTGCATGACCCTCCATACTCTTTTTCGCCTCCTTCCAAAACCCAGGTCCCATTTGTTTCGTCTGTGGCAAGAGCGGCTCTAGTTTAGTAACCACGTCACTGTGGAAGCGCAGGATTTGCGTGTCGTCCACATAGCCAACGATGTAGACTTGGAAATCTTGGAGACCCATTCGAGACGCGTTCGTAGTTACCAAAAATCTCAGCAAGTGTGACCCTGGGGGTGGTTGCGCAGTGAGACCTCACCCTTCTCCTGAAACTCCTGGCAGGGGCACTGACCAGGAGTGGAGAAGGTCTGGGAATGCAGAAGCAGAAGGGGCTAGAGGGTCTGGGTAGGTGACAAGAAAGGGCTATTGGATGCTGCCTGGGCTGGGTGCCCTTGCACCTCCAGGCAGAGGCCCCTTCCTTCCTGACCCACACTCACCAGCGCCTCTCTGGGTCTCAGTCTGGGTCAGAGTCAGGAGTACTGAGAGCAGCAGGAGAGTGGGACACAGAGCTGCAGCCGCCATCCTCGGTGTCTAGAAAATCTGGAGGGATTGAGACTTTGTTCCTCTCTGTGGAGTTTATAGCGCCTTGGTTTGTGGGGAGATACCACAGTGACTGTGAGTGGCTTTCTCCAGAACTCAGACATGCAGTGGGAGTGAGAACATGTGTCCAGATTGAAGGACAGGACAGCTGACTCGGGTTGTAAGCTACAGAAAGGAATTCAGTGGGAATTCCCAACCTATGATTTCCCCACCTCAAACACTTTGAAGGAAAAACTTCAGACCAATTACTTATGGAAACCATTTCTCTTGTAATTGGTGCTCTTTGTCACATCTGCTCTCTCTGAGTCCTGTTCAGAAGCTATGCTGAGATTCTGAATGTTTTAGTTTCAGGATCTTTTATTTGTTCTTATACATTATTAAATACCTGAAAGTTTAAATCCAAGGACATTTACCATGTTAAAAACTGCTCATGGTGTCTGACATCTGTAACCCCAGCACTTAGGAGGCTGTGCTGAGGTAAGAGGTTTGATATATGTTTAAGCTACATGACACTGAAATTTAAAAAAAGGTTTATTTATGTGTGTCTGGGAGTGTGCATGCAGGTGTATGCGTGTATGAATTTGTGCAAATGTATGCCTTGTGTGTGAGTCAGAGTCCTTAGAACTGGAATTGCAGCTGTTTGTGAGCTGGGTGCTAGAAACTGAACTGAGGTCATCTACAAGAGCCGTGAGCACTATAACCACTGAACCATCTCTTCAGTCCCTTGATACTTTGACTTCAGAAAAGACTTCAAAAAGTGAGACTGCCCTTATATTCTACTAGTAAGTAGCAATGGTGAAGAAAGTAGTAACTCTTAATTAGTTTTTCACAGCCTTGATTCAGACTAAGGAGTCAACAGATTAACTCACTGTCAAGCATACTACAATAAATATGACAAGTAAATTTGAGAAGCACAAAAGTGTTTTTGAAGTCAATTACCTCATGAAAGTATCTAAGTGATTTCATGAGTTCCATCCAGCTTTAAATGCTATTGTTATTTGTTGGTGTTGGAGGCACGTAGCTTGTTTCCTCCACTCAAGAAGCTGAGGCAGGAGGGTTTCCAGGATTTGAAGAATGGCCTGAACTATATAATTTTTTTGCGTGTGAGAGGAGAAGAATGCAGTATGTCGGGGAACAGTAAATGCTTTTTAGCGGAAGTCAGTTTGCTTGGAGAACATGTAATTACCCATTGGACCCAGAGAACAGTTTGTAAATGGTTTGAAAATTATTTTCTTTGGAGCAATGGATGGGATGGAAGTAGATGATGGTGGCATGTGGCAAATCCATCCTGGATGCTGACGGGCTTCTCGCCCTAAGAGACTCTTAATAAAACTGAGGGAGAAGACCAGAGGCAATTATTTTCTTCCTTTGTGATTCGGGACATTAGGCAGGTTAGAGGAGAGAAGAGTAAAGCCCTGTCCAACCTCTGCTGCTAGTTCCTTTACTCAAAACAACCAGCATAAATCAGGTTGCAGAGCAACACAGCCTTGGGCACGGTCATCACTGGCATCTGAACACCAACTCCTTGCTTCCCTTCACATGGCAGGCTGGCATCAGGTCTGGCTGAGGGGAACATGTCTGCTGGTAGCACGTGTTGCAGAGAGAATTGAGAAGAGGAGGACATGGCAGGGGATACCCCAGGAAAAGGAAGAAATAGAATAGCTGTGGCAGAATGGACAGAAGACTGCCCTTCAGGAAGAGGTGATGGCCACCAGCCCACAGGAAACAAGAGAAGAGGAGAGGCTCCTCGACTTCCCTAATTTCCTACAAGCCATAACCAGCAGCAGATTTAGGATGATATATGGATGGAGAGGATATGGGTGATATGATGGAAAAGATGAGAAGAATCAGGAGAAAACTTCGGGAGTTGCAGCTGAGAAACTGTATTCTTAAGGAGGAGCTCTCTAAAATCATCATGATGAATTCTGACTTATGCCTTGACTTCTACAACTTTCCATGAGATTCATACACTGATTCCTACTGTATTCTTCTTCCTTGCATTTTCCTGAAAAGCCCTTACTGGTCTGATTGTGCTGAGCCTTGTGTTATTTCTGTGTGCCAGATGGGTCTTCCGTTGTCAGCTCTAATTGGAGGCTGCCTTCCCACTATCTATAAATTTCTGTGAACACTACAGTTTTGCACATTTGCATGGAAAAATAATGTAAAGTAAATAAAACAATTGAAAAGCAAAACAAATAAACAGCAACAACAAAAACAGTGCAAGCTAAGCATGATGGGGCATGCCTTGATCCCAATCTCTGAAGGCAGAGATGGGCAGATTACCATGAATTTGAGTACATAGTGAGCTCCAGAACAGCCAGTGTGTGTGTGTGTGTGTGTGAGAGAGAGAGAGAGACAGAGACAGAGAAAGACAGAGACAGAGACAGAGAGAGAAAAGAGAGAGACAGAGACAGAGAGAGGTCCTTCCTCAAAAAACAAGACAAACAGAAAAAAAAAAATCAGCATGCTAGAGTCCCTAGTTCCTGGATTCTGTCACTTCCCCTACCTCAAATTTCCCTACAAGTTTCACACAGAAGTTGGTAGCTTCAAGGAAAGAAAAGAATAAACTGGAATAAGTAATCAGAAAAGCAAATCTAAGCACATTTGCCCAAGTCCCATTAAGCCAACTATTCCTAAAATAATTTAGTCACAAATGGTTTGGCTTCATTTGTCTGATGAATATATATCTTGTGTTTTAAGAAATGCATACCAAAGCTCAGTATGATGACAGAGACCTGAAATCCTAGCACTTGAAAGGTGAGGCCAGCCTGACTGGTGTGTGTGTGTGTGTGTGTGTGTGTGTGTGTGTGTGTGTGTGCTGGACATTACAGTGAGGGGGATCAATGACTGACCCACAAAGAGAAAAGTACAAGGAAAGTGTTTCAAAGTTTTATCTTTCTGAGCAGTGGTGGCACATGCCATTAATACCAGCACTCAGAAGGCAGATGCAGGCAGATCTGTGAGTTCAAGGCCAGTTTGGTCTAAAGAGCAGTTCCTGGACAGCCATGGCTACACAGAGAAATCCCATCTTTAAAATAATGATAATAATTAATAATAATAATAATAATAATGTAATAGCTTTATCTTTAGGAGGGTTTTACAAAGAACACAATGAGAAGGGAAGTACATGGATCCTGATCCATGACCTTGGGAAATGGCTGTCTACTCCGTGGTGCTGTCTGCCTCTGGGGGTTGAGAACTGGCCTGACAATCTAAAGTCACAATCTAAAGCTGGCCCTCCAGGTGTCCTAATCTCATTTGCTTTGACCCATATGAATCCAAGGGGATGTTTTTATTTCATTTGATGGGTGGTTTAGCGGTACTACATAAACTTCTTTCTGAGGTAGGAACTCTGGGGGGAAAACCAATTTTTTTTTTAGCCCCTCAACTATGAGGAGCACATATATTCTGTTTTATAGAAGACATGTGCAAGACAAAATGTTAAGGTCACAGAAGTCCATTTGGCCAGACTTTTGCAATCATTTATCCTTTTCAGACTGTGGAACAAGGATAGTATTAGGCAGAGATAAATACAGGCTTATGAATTGGGTACAAAAACAATGGGGGCATTTGAGGATGCGTGTTTACTATCTGCCAATGCATATATTTTTTTGGGGGGGAAGGGGGAGTTTCAAGATAGAGTTTCTAACCCTAGCTATCTTGGAACTCTGTAGGCCAGCCTAACCTCAAACTCAGAGATCCTCCTGCCTCTACCTCTGGAGAGCTAGGATTAAAGATGTGTGCCACCATCACCCAGCAGTTTTAGCTTCTTGGCTGTAGCAATCTTAGTGGGAAGGTAAAAACACCTGTAACAGAGCAATCATGATGGCATCAGCTCCTATGTGGAGTTCCAGCTGAAGGTAAGAATATGGAGGTACCAGATTGTGCAAACTTTTTGGCCAACTCCATACTCATTATTGGGAGTAAATCTAATCGTGTCCGCATTTTCTTTGCCAAAATAGAAGTTCTAGAAAGAGCAATGTTCTTAACAGCCTTAATAGTCAGAGCATTCATCAGGACAAATCACTGGGAGAGGAAAGGAAAGAGTTAATTTCCAAACTGCTTGTGGCCAGGGATCTCTGCTTTGCCACGCTAAAGCTAAAGCTGTTTGATTAACTCTAAAGCAAGCTTCTCTGACAGGCTGACTGCATCTGCTGTGCTAGCCAAGCCACTTATGCTAATTGGAAATTAAAAGATGATCCTCCCCTTTTGTCCCAGCACTCAGGACCTATTTCTTCAGCTGTCTTCTCCAAGCCCTAGTCTCTCTCCTCCCTCCCTCCCTCCCTCCCTTTCTCTGTCTCTGTGTCTCTGTGTCTCTGTCTCTGTCTGTCTTCTCCAAGAAGACAGACACTTATTCTTTGAGTCACTGCCTTTTCCTCTCCGCACCCCGTTTAAAAATCTTTCGCTTTCTCTTGATTTCTGCCGGCGTCTCCATCCCTCCCGCTTCTCTCCCTTTTCCTGCGAACTGCAACAGAAGCGGCACCCTGCCTAGGCTTGCCTCTGAAACTTGAACTCTCCAGTTCTAATCTAATCAAAAAATTTTCTTCTGTACAGCTTGAAATAAATCTCCTCCACCCCTGTCACTCATGGAATTATTATTTTGGTTTCTTTATTGCAGCTATTTTATTTCATAATATACACTGTAAAAAGATTTACAAAATTAATAGTCTCCCTATATATTATATTTATGATTAAGAACTTTGGTTTCCATACTAAAAGAACCTCAATTCAAAATTATTATTTTTAAGGATAAACCTAACAGGGATGAAACATAAAGTTCTAAATTTATAAAAGCAACTAAATTAAACTATAAACTGTTAAGGATAAATTTACTTGAATTATAAACTATTAAAAATAATTAAGAATATAAGTTAATGACTAATAATCTAGTCACTAATTTACACTATAAACTGTTAAGGATAAGTTTTATTTAAATTGTAAGTTATTAAAGATAATTTAAAAATACAAACTAATGCTTGATC